ATTTATGTGTATATTTCATATACATATACACATATATATGGAAAGATAATACTTTTACCTGATGCTGCAACAAAATAGATACACAGTTCCTGACTTATGATGGTCTGACTTAGGATTTTTGGACTTCACAATGGTGCCAAAGCTATATGCATTCAGTAGAAACTATACTTCAGATTTTGAATTATGATCTTTTTCCAGGCTGTGGTATGTGGTATGATCTCTCTCTCATGATGCTGGCCAGAGGCAGCGAGCCACAGCTCCTAGTCAGCCATGTGTTCTTGAGGTTAAACAGCCAATACACTTATAACCATTCTGTGCCCAGACAATCATTCTTTTGTTCAGTGTAGTATTCAAGAAATTACATGAGATATCCAGCACGTTATTATAAAGTAGGCTTTTTGCAATGATTGTGCCCAAGCGTAGCCTAATATAAGTGTTCTGAGCACATTTAAGGGAGGCTGGACTAAGCTATGATGTTCAGTAGGTTAGGTGTATTCAATGCATTTTTTACTTAAGATATTTTCAATTTATGATGGGCTTATTGGGATGTAATTCTATTGTAAGTTCAGGAAGATCTGTACTTAGATGTCACTGGGTTAGGAGATTAATTTGTTCACCCTCTCTAGGAGGGCAGAGTTTCAATACAGTTTGCAAGCTTTTAAAATGTTCATCTAGTGACATGAAAACTTTTCATAATACATTCCTCTGTGTAAAGGGGTTATAAAACAGTCTATGATATTGTCACACATTTAGAGAGATAGTATTCTACATGCATAGACATAGGGAAAAGGACCTAGAAGAATATGCATCGAGATGCTAATGGTGGGTAGAAATTATTGGTATTCTTTGTTTTTAATTTTACTTTTCAGTCCTCTGAAATTTTCTGATAGGCAATATTGCTTTTTTAATGATAAAGAAGACCCTAAAATATTAAAAAATATTTTTTCTGACTACTAAATTTTTGTAATTTATTGAAAAAAAGCTGAATACAGAATATTTAGGGTGTTCTGACAAAGTCGATCCAGGACACAGGATAAAAATCATGAAATTCAGGACATGTCCACATATATAGGATACCTGGCAACCCTAAACACACACCGTCTATTTAGGAATGAAAAATAAATGATTTTTTTCATTCTTAAGAAAATATTTTTTAATTCTCAAACTCCAGATTGGAAAGGTAGGAATGTAAGAAACTAGAACAGGTGAGAGTTGATAATGATTTCTGTTAACATTAAATAAATGAATACTTCAAATAAAAATTTCCAAGTTTCTAGAATTGAGATATTTCTAATGAGTAAGTAATTACCTTCACCAGTGTATTCCCTCCTTATCTCCTTTTTGGAATTCTCTTCTATTCCTATATATTTTGTCTTTTACTATTTTTCCCCTACTCTTCCCTTCTTTCATGCTTCTAAGTCTTTGGTGACACCACATGTATTGTATATGACACTTCTTGCTAAAGGAAGCCTAACCTTTTTTAAGTGCTTGCTTAATTTCAAGTCTTTCATTTATTCTCCAACAAAGATCTCTTAAGTGTTTACTCTTGGCCACAAGAAGTTTTTAATCCAATGAGTTAATATCACTTCTGTGCCAGGCTATTTGGTCTGTGGAGCCATTATCAAAACTGGGTAATCTTGTTAAATTGCTTTTTGTAGATACTAATTTTTTTGGTCAGCCAGATTTCCAAGAATGCACTCATTGTGCAAGCCTTAATTATCATGAAATTTTTAAAAAACAGTAACTTTGGCAGGGACATTATGACTGGAAGAATTTTATCACTTCCTGATTTAATTCAAAGATAACGAGATAAAGTATTCATAAGTCTTCCTAATTGACTCTTCACTGTAGTCAGACTTCTTTATGAATTTTACTTTAATTATTAGCATGGGAAAGAATGAGAGAAAAGGCAAAACCCATAGCATCTTTTCTCAATTGTGTTCTTTCTCTAATTCACATTTTAGAAGTCCAAATATATTCCAGACATGGAGAAAATATTTTCATTCTGGCAGCCACTAGTAGCTCATTGGTGCTTCAACCTCAGTCATTCAGAAGCCTGCCAGTAGACTGCTTAAAGATTTTAGGCCTCACAAAATAGCTGGGCTTTACAGCAGCACTGTTTCAGATTTTACATTTTATCTGAAATACATTTATATGATTAAATATGTTAACTTACAGCTAGCTGGAAAGCCTTAACTCATTGTTGTGCAGTGTAAGTTGGATGACCACAGAATCTATTGGCCAAACACACTGAAAGAGGATGCTGTTGATAATTATACTAGGACAATAGGTATGAACTGGGCTATAATTTCTTTTGGCTTTAAGCAAATCCCAACTCAGATCATTCAAATGGTTTAACCTTTTGACATCACAACACCTGCAAAAACATCATTCATCCATAACAAACCACCTCCAAATTTAGTGACTTAAAACAATCACTGTTTTATTAATGTTTAGGATTCACTGGGATGGCTAGGAAGGCCGGGATGCTTGGCACAGCCTTTCTCCATCTAGATTCTCATCCTTCACAAATTGTTCACATTTCACATGTAAAATATGCACATCTCCATCCTAGGTTCCCAGAAGTTTCATCCCACTAACAACAGCAGGCCCAAAGTTCAGGGTCCTGTCATTTAAATAAGTTCTAGATGCAAATGAAGCTTCTTGTGTTCTGCTCCTTGGTGTGGGTCCTTGTCGCCGTTCAGTGGTGAGGCAGGGACAGAATAACCATAATCCACACTTCAATTCAAAATGGGAGGACTGGGCATCATATTGCCCTCAGTGGTTCATGGCAATTCTGAATTGCCCCTGGACTCAAGTTGCCAGGCCACCTTCCCCGGGTCAGGGGATATTTTTTGAATGGGGCCTAGTTCTGTTTCCTTAGAGTGGTTCTATAGTTTGTTGTACTTTTAGGCTTTTGGATCTGCTCTCTGAGCTCTTGGCTCTGTCCTTTGAGATATCTTTCCTTTTCCATAAGACATGGTGGTGCTGCCACTGAATAGCTTTCTCTGTCTGCTTTCTGCCTGTGGAAAGTTGGGGGCCCAGAGTAGAATGTTCATTTTGACGTGTCTCTGTCCCAAATCATCTCAATAGTGCAGTACCCTTAAATATTTTTTAGGCTTTCTATGTATCAGACCAGTGTCTACCCTGTTAGAGAAAGGACTTACAATTCTTTTCAAAACAGACCTCCCTATATTGACTGGCGTGTCAGTGTGCTGCAGAACCAGCTCTTTTTAGCTAGCCATGGTGATCTGTTGGGCTCCACTTTAAATTAGTTTTTCACAAAAGGTGTTCCAGCTACACACTTGGTCTTTGATTGTAGGCCTTCTTTTACTTTGGAAATCTTTTACAAGCAAGTCCTGTGCCCTCTATATTGTCTTTAGTTTTTGCTCACAGGCTAGACTTTACTTCTCCATCTCATCCCTGTTTTGACTTTATCATACAGCTATGAGAAGCCAACTTACACGTTAGGCATTCTGCCCGGATATCTCTTCCACCAGATTCACAAGTTCTTTCGGTACATTGTCTTTTGAGGTCACTGAAGATAACAGTTTGGTCCATTTTTTCACTATTACATGACATAGATTACAAATTTTTTTTCCAGCCCACAAGAACAGTGTGTCCTTTTAAATCTCTTTCAGCAATATTTTGTAGTTTCCAATGTATAAGGCTTACACATATTTTGTGAGATATGTCCCTATGAATTTTATATTTTGGAATGATATTATAAATGGAGTTGTGTGTTTTATTTCATTTTCACCTGTTCATTGCTAGTATGTACAGATATAGTTGATTTGTATGTGTTAATCTTAGAACCTACTATTGTGTTAAATTCACATATTTTTTCTAGTGGGTTATTTTGTGTGTAGATTTTTAAATATTTTCCATGTACATGATCATGCATATACAAATAAAAAGTTTACTTTCTTCCTTCTAATCTGTATTCCTATATTTTCTTTTTCTTGCCTTATTGTAATGGCTAGGGTCGCCAGTATAGTGTTGAATAGAAGTAGCAAGAGTAGATATCCTTGGGATGCCTGGGTGGCTCAGTTGGTTAAGCGTCTGCCTTCAGCTCAGGTCATGATCCCAGGGTCCTGGGATTGAGTCCTGCATTGGGCTGTTTGCTCAGTGGGGATCCTGCTTCACCCTCTGCCTGCCCTCCCCATGCTTTTGTGCTCTCTCTCTCTGACAAATAAATGAAATCTTAAAAAAAAAGAGTAGATATTCTTGTCTTGTTTCCAGTCTTAGGGGAATAGCATTTAGTCTTTCACTGTGAATGAAATACGTTGTTAGCTGTGGGTTTTTCACAGATGCCCTCTGTTGGGTTGAGGAAGTTCATTTCTATTCCTAGTTTACTGGGAGCTTTTGTTATATATGTATTTTATAGTATATAAATTATACCTTGATGAAAATGGTCTCATAAAAAACAGTATTACATATACTAAAACTTGAACAGAGTAATGTTGTCAAGTTTTAGTGAAAACTTAAGCTTTGTAAAGCTTAAAAAGTTTAAGAAACCTTTAGTTAAGGCTAAAAATTTATTTTTAACATCAGCCAGTTAATATATTAAAGATATAATCAAAATGTTTGTTGAAGATTTTGCCTTCAGAAACAAAACAAATCTAAGAAAAGAATTGGTATCTTTCCATTTTTTAAACTAATATTTCAAAATTCAATATTACTTTTCTATGTGATGAACTTTGCTTGTAAAATCAGAATTGAACTTTTCTAATTAGCACCACTGAAAGATTTTAATTCCTTTTATTTCCCCCAGATAAGGCAGAATGTTTTAATGTTTAGTAATTCTTTTTCTTATTTGACATATAAATACTATAGACATATTCTGTGTAATACAAAATAATACTGTAGGTTAATTCTCACTCAGTATGGAAAGATCTTATTTCCATTTCTCTCCTTCTGTAGATGAGGAAACTGAGCTCAGAAAGTGTGAATGACATCCTATCATTACTTCTATATCTGTGGTAACTTTTTTTTAATAGGATTTACTCAAAGATCCATTGTACATTGGGCTACGGCAGAGAAGAGTGAGAGGTCCTGAATATGATGATTTTTTGGATGAATTCATGGAGGCAGTTTCTTCCAAGTATGTATAATCTTTATTTTATCTGTATTTGAATTGAATTTCAAAAATTTAAAAATAACCTAACATAATGAACTATAAAGGTATCCAACTTTGGTGTAGTATGTTTAGTAATTAGAAATGATTTGTATAGGGGCGCCTGGGTGGCTCAGTCATTAAGCGTCTGCCTTCGGCTCAGGTCATGATTGCAGGGTCCTGGGATCAAGCCCCGCATTGGACTCCCTGCTCACAGGAAGCCCGCTTCTCCCTCTCCCACTCCCCCTGCTTGTGTTCCCTCTCTCGCTGTGTCTCTGTCAAATAAATAAATTAAAAAAAACTTAAAAAAAAAGAGAAATTATTTGTATGAAATGCATACACACATACTGTCTTAATTATTAGTGACCAAATGATAAAGTCATGCATCTATCTCAAAAAAGGTTGTCTTTGTTGCTATCCCTGAAGATACTTTTATGAATATCTTTAGATCGTGTGGTTATTGAAATGCATGATTATGGTGAATAAGGCATTGGTCACTGACCAAATTACCCAAGTAAGCCATTTTATGATTGGCAGTCTGTATTTTGTTTCTGGCTGCTAATAAAATGTGATCTCCAGTCATCTTTGAGGGTATATTTGACCCTTTTGTGGTAGGAAGTGGGGACTGAATGTGAGTTAGTATAATCCACAAGTCCAGAATGGTGTTTAAGAACCAGGACATCCAATCAACAGTTCGTGAGTCTCTGATTAAATGTCTACTCTTTGGTTAAAATGCAGTACTCTATTACACTTAATTTAGGTAACATTTAATTGTGGGCCAAGTGCTACTATAAAGTTTTCCAATTTTTTTTTCTTTCAGCAAAGAGACTCCCACCATAATTTAGTAATGTATTCTGAGAGAATTTTGTCACACTAATGAGACAGCCATCCCATTGGTTACTATACAGCCACAAAAACCATGGACTATTTTAAAACCTGTATGCTGCCTTGGTTTTTCGTAGAAATAAACTCATCACTAGAACCAGCTGTAACTAGAGACATCGTTCAGGGTTTTTTAATTATAAGGTTTAATTTTAAGCAGTTGTATGCAACAGCAGAAAGTGCTTTCATCAGCTTGCACAATATTTAGAATATATTGAACCTCTCATTGCCTAAAGTTTCAGGGCAGGGTATATTTGCCAGTTAGTATGGGCTACTTTTTAAAAACATGGGCCTGATTTATTTATTGTAATTATTAACTTATTTGGTTAAGCTGTACTTAATCATAAAAATAGTTGAGGAACTGTACAGTTTAAGCTCAAGATTGCATGGTACAGTTAATATCTAGTAGTTTCTCATATATAATGTAATGTTTTGAAATTACCTGTAACTCTTTAGATAGTAACATTAATCAGGAGATTATATAGAGAACATTGTGACGCTATGTAAAAGAAAAAGGAAATGCAATTCTTATCATATTTGTTTTTATTTTTTTTATTACGTTAATCATCATACATTACATCATTAGTTTTTGATGTAGTGTTCCATGACTCATTGTTTGCGTATAACACCCAGTGCTCCATGCAATACGTGCCCTCTTTAATTATTTGTTTTTATTGTCTGTGTAAGTAGAGACTATCTTTATATATACAACTTCAGTATACTTACAAAGAAACTGTTAAACAAGTTTATGAGCATCGTTTATATGGCCTATATACTTAAGTGCTGATGAAATGAAAATAGAAATAATTCCATTTGGAATCGATGAGAAGCTTTCCTCAGAAAATGAGATTTGAGCTAATTTTGAATGCTCTGTGTCAGTATAGAGTCAGAAAAGCTTTTTTAAAAAAAATAGTGAATTGAAGGATTACCTAAGATCTTTGATAAAGAAATGAGGATTGACAAAAGTCAATAATTTTAAATGCAGAGAGCACCTATAGATCAGGAGTTATGCCATAGACTCTTCCCAGAGAAGAATCACAAAGACTTTTCAAAAATAGTTTCTAGCATGCTGCTGCTTTGGGAAAAGTTTTCTAGAAGCGACACCTAGCACTACCCAATTAAATTGGGAAGTGGTCCTAAAGATAAGCCCAAGATTATTTAAAAAGAAAATGTAACCTAAATTCAAGGTGAAAAATGACTGTTGCAAGTTGAGCTACTCAGGAATCACATTCTAAGATGGAGTTGATTAAGGAGTGCCCTTGGAATGAACCCCTTTGGAAGGGAGGGGACAGAAGGAGTGGATAAAGGGAGAAGGATAAAGTGGGTAATGGGAGTGGATAAAGGGAGAAGTCGAGCTTCACCGTAGAACCACCAACAGCCTTGGATAACTTCATTAGAATCATCCCTGTGTGCCAGTTAGATACTTACGGGGACACTAATTTCTGCCAGTCTCCGCCCCCCCCAATACTATATTGGTTTTTTTACTTACTACATTCTCAATGTTGGGTGGGGCAGTTTCAGATTCTTCCTCTTGACTTTTTTCATAATTATACTCTTTACTTCATAGGCCAAGGACTTGATATGGGTGTTGTGGGACTTACTAATCATGTTAGTCTATTCTGATTATACATTTGGGGACTGAGAAAATCACCAGGCCAGTCTGTGGTCCTAATGAATGGACCCATTATGAGCTAGACCTTGGCCAAGGCTCCATTTATTACTGACTTCCACATGCCTTTACTATAACGAGGAGGGTGATGGCATATAGATGCTTTTGGTCTTCTGGTATGACTGTCAACTCTGTGCCCTTGAAATGTTTGGGTATTCCCTGCCCCCCAGAGCACAGTTACCTGAATAAAAAGCTATAGGTCCCACTGGAGAAGGATTGAGGGAATTATTACTCTCTATTCTTACCATGATGTTGCAAGATCTTTCCTTCTGGATTCTAGGTCTCTTACGTTAGAGGGTTCTGAGTCCAAAAATTAGCTGAGGCATGGAAGCTGAAAAAGATATTGACTTCATTGGGGCAACTTCCCTCAGATTTCTTCATTCATTTTTGATTTATTTTGATTGTACACATTAACTAGTAGCCTTGTCAGCTGTCTGTTTTGCATCTAGGGATGCTGTATTCTTTTAATTATCTCAATAATTCTCTGTGGGTCAGCCCCCCACTACCCCAGGCTTGCCACTCTTAGGATAGTTAGACCCATCTAGCTTTTCATGGCTTCTGATCCTCACCTGGACCTATCATCCCCATTTCTATCAATGAGCCTAGTTCTAGAACAGCCTTTCCTTCTGTCAGTTCTGGCCTTCGCAAGAGAACCGCCACAAAACTTGCTAATGTGGATTCTTCTCCCTGGCATCTTCCTTATGGCTGTGGTAAATGGTGTATTTTCTGGGCCTTCACAATATCTGATGGGTTTTCTGGCCTTACAAAGCACTTGCATTCTAGAATGTACTCTCAGAGCCTTGTGTTCCCCTCTTCTGCCATCTGCCACAGCAATTCTGGCATTTCAACAACATTTAATATGAGCTATTACTTTCTCCATGTTTCCAGGAACCACCCTAGCAGTGAGTTTATACCATCTGAGATTCTTACTGGTTGTAAATCCTGTATCTCAGGAGAGCACCTCAAATCAATAAGCTTTTTCTTATCTAATAGTTAAATTCCAACCCCTTTGAGCAAAAGCCCTCAGAAATTAATCTCATATATACTCTTCTGGCTAATATAAACCAGCTAGATCTCACAGTTCCTTTATGTAATAGCCCCTTTCTTCCTTTGTTAGGCCTAGTATGTCCTAGGTGGGTTATATTGTGACATAACCCTCGTTATGGGCCTCAGGGTCTGGAGAGGAGGTGAAGGTAGTAGATGGAGGTAAGGGAGGTACATGTTGTTTGAGGGAGAAGCTTCTGTGTACATGATTCCCAAGAGAGAAAGGGCAGACCATTTTTGTGGATTCAGAAAGTTTTAGGGAATCTGGGAATTCAAGATTTTGGGAGGCATCAAACCAGGTATCTCGTGTGTCAGGACCCAATCAGGATCCTGACTTAGCAGATCTACCTTGCTGAAGTTTTGGACTTTCTGAATACTGTGATGATTATTCCCTGTTTCTGGTGATTAGCTCTCTCTGCCCAGGAGCTATAGGATCTGAGAGCATTTTTGTATCTACTTGGGGGGTCCTCTGCTTTTTACATTGGTGATTGCTTGTCCTTAGCTTTTTGTGATCTTTTCCTGTTGTCCTTATAGTTAATATATCTCCCATATTTCTCAAACACCTCACACATCATTCCAGCTGAAGTGTTCCCTTCTGCGGATATACTATCTAATCCTCCTATGGTGAGAGTTTGAACAGTTGGTCTGCCCCGCTGTGCTGGGCATTCTCTCTGCTCCACCTGCCACCAGTAACAGGGTCCACGTCACCAGCCAGGCAGCGAGTGATCCAGCTCCAAAGCCCCATCTTGTCACCGGATTTCTCAGACCACTCCCAGTGCTAATTGTCACAGATGAGGTTACCTGAGAGGCAGATTTCTGAACCAAACTTTAGTGTTCAAGAGGTTTATAAGACATGTCCTAGAGATCAACCCCTATCGAAGGGCTACAAAGGAGGCAGGAATGGGCAGAGGGATGCAGGCACAATGACACCTTCCACTCACCCCGTGGGGAACTTTGGTGCAACAGTAGCTTTTCAGAGTTGTCCCCAGTTAGGCTGGGATGGCCAAGCCTTTATAGTCCTGAATTGTTTAGTCGTTAGATGTGGGTCACCCTGAGAAAAGAGGATGACCTGTGGTATAGTACTCTCTGCAGCTGACATCGTCCCTAGGACAGCAGTGGAGGATCGGAGTGCTGTGTCACAGTGGTCAGCACAAGGACATTTAGATCAAGATAAAAATTGAGCAGAAAAAAGGTTTCAAGGCTGTAATTATGGCGTGTCTTGGAATCTGTTGAATAGACCATGTCTGATATTCTGTTATCAAGCCATATGACAGACAAACGCTAGCCTCTGCAGAATATTTTTGGGTTAGAAAAATTGGCCATTGGAGCAAACCATTGAGTTGCCCTAGCTACCTGTGCCTTAACAGGATCTAGATTTCTCTAGTACAAATGT